TGACCTTGCTGCTTAGCGGCAGAAATAGGTAAGGTGGCAGTACTACCCTGGACTAAGTTGTCTACAGACTGATAACTATGGATTCCCGTAAATCGCGCTAATTTGGTTGCCACGACATTTACGCAGACTTGATTTGGCCACTAACTCATAATCAAATACTAGTTAATTGCACTATTCCCGACGATATAAGTTTCGGTAATTGGTAAAGGACATAGTTCGCCACACTGGCCCAATGTGCGTAGGGGACTTCGCACGTTTTCCGAGGATTGTGAACCTTCTGCGACGTGCAGGTTTCATCACGATGTTTTCCTTCATCGAAAAGCTGACACATCTGCAAAGCAATTTAATGATGTGTGTGAAGTTCTCAATCCGTATTGAGCTCGCGTAGGAATTACAGCCCAAGCCCTCGTATTGTGAGGGAAAGCCTGTGCCCAGTAGTTAGGCTAACTATTATTTCAAAGGAAGCTACACTCCACATGGTGGTAGTCCCGTGCGCCAAATCGAGATACTTTCTTATTATTACTACCATTGTTATTTATTTAATATACAAAGTGTGTTACGAGACAAAATGTTACAATAAAAAATATGTTTTCCAACTTCCCAATGACGTAGATAACAATTACTTTTATTATTACATGAATGAGAAGAACGATTCCTACTTACAGCTAAATATAATAACATCAACCTAACATACGTCATATCCTTTTCAAATAATCCCTTTGAGCATTTCGCATACAAAAGAACATGTAAAGTACTCGACAATATACAACTAGCTTCAGCCTCCAATAGCGTCCAGAGTCCCGAGCAATATCGAATTTAGGAACTTGTAAGAAAGGTCAATCCCTCTGGGTATGGCAACTTTGCCTTTCCACATATAATACGAGAATTGTTAGTGTGATCGAGCACTAGAGAAACAGGTTTTGCGATTCCTTTTAACGGCTGTAAGACTTTTTTTTAAAAAAAACGGAATTGATTATTTCCGGCATTACTTTTATACTTTTCACAGCGTAGAACCGCCATTCAGCCTTGTCAAAGCTTCTTTTTGTGGAGGGACACGTCTTGGAATCCACTTATCCATTATTCCATAAAAATCACAATGCAAGGCTTTCTTTGTACCAAGCGTCCATTATACCTTGTCGTCACGACATCGTCGTCGTCCCATTTTTTTTACCAGACCATAAAGTTGTTCGATTATCACTAAAATGATAAATATTATAATAATATTATTATGAAGTATTATGATAAATAATGATAATAATTATATAACCACCAAAATGTTTTTCACACAAAAGAAAAATTTAGTTTTAACGTTACTCAAATGCTTTTTTATCTAGGGATAATATAATTTATTAATAACGTCTCTAAAAAAGACGTAAAATTTCTATCCTATCGTCATACATTTTTTCCAAATAAATCTATCAGGTGCAGATTTAAAGTAATTTTAACGATTTTTAATTGACCTCTAAAGTTGGTAAGGTAGATAATATATATTTATTCTGTGGGGTCATCGATTTCGTACTAATACCAAATGATACACAAAGTCATGAAACATATCTATTTCATTAAATATAACATAAACTACCCATTAATCTCTTAAAACTGGAGCTTAGTTTTGTTTCGACGGACAAGTTTCGGTGATAAATCGTTCATTGTCCTTTAAGTTATTACCGTTATTTGATAAAATGAAGTGCTTGTCTACTTATTGCTGCACAAGATAAGATAAGTTTGACACAGCTGTGCAACTTTCGAGTCTATTTCTATACTTTGATGAATCGGATAGATACTTGATTGATCAAAATGTTAAGAAAATTTAAAATTATTTTCACCTGATCTGTTAAAGCTCTGTACACGTAAAAAACACGAACTTTGCATTCGCATGTTTAGTCGCAGTGAATCTCGAACTGTAGTCGTACCCTTACACTTACAATGCTCACTGTGTTCACGTCACAGACGGAGGGTCAAACTCAAATGATTTTTATTTCATAGGTAAGCAAATTGTACTGGAAATCGTCATATTGATTATATTCTACTGCTCATTAGTAAGGCAGATTCGCCTGAAACGAATGAGCTAGAGTGAGAAACGAATGAGAAGAAACTCAAGGGGTTGCTATATATAACAAGATTCCGGTTGATATACAAAATTTGCCTTACACGAGGTTTAAAACTATAGTGAAACAAAAACTTTATACTAAAGGTTATTATACAACTTCTGCGTACTTGGATGACAAAAATCCGTGGTAGTAACCCGTTTAGCTCATGGAGGTAGTCTCGATCTCTGATGTTTCAAATAAAAAAAAAAAAATATTGTAAATGTTATTTACAAAGAGCAACCCCTAGAGTTTCTTGCTCATTCTTCTCAGGGGAATCTGCCTTACGAATGAGCGGTAGAGTTTAATATTGTGACGATTTCAAGTGTAATAATGCTTACATATGAAATAAAGATTATTTTGAATTTGAATTTGAATTTGAATTTGAATAAAAAATAAAATATTAACTGTTACATTACAATTACGTCAAATTACTAACAATGAATTAATAGCATCACACAATACTATAATCAAACGTGAAGAGCTCTCAACAAGCCACGTTTTCAGGAGAAATGTGAATGAATTTCTTGATGGTGCACTTCGCATGTTTCCTGATAACCGATTGAAGACCGCAGGTGCCATTATATACATTAGTTTGGATGCTTTCGCCAGCCGCCACGATACAGCCCTCATGTCACGATTAGGGACACAGTATCGAATCAAGAGTATCGATACTGTACTCATGAGTAGTATCGCATAAAAAGTAAATGTTCATCTTAGCTAGTACTTTTATGTAGTTTACTGGGTCTTAGGAGGCTATGGTAAGGTTTTACAAGCTAAGTAAAAAACATGATGTCATGTTTGTAAAGAGTAAATACATACGAAAAAACAGTATAATCTTTTAAATGTACTTGTATGCATGTTTACATCATTACATTGCTTTCCTATATGCTTTTTACAACATTTATTGATTATTGTACATGAATGTAAATACTGTCTTCATAAAATTGCACCGCATTTTCACGAAAACAATGTTAGTAAATTGCCTATTTATTAAAAAAATAAATTAAAAATTTATTTATTTCTCAATTTGGTTCAACAATGCTAGATCAGGTCCTCCCTTTAAGCAAATGTATGCTTGTGTTGGGAAAGCCTTGAAATTTATTACCACTAAGCCAAGAGGATTTAAAACTTTTAAATCCTCTATTCTATCTTCAGGTTTCCGGTATTGTTAAAATCATGATAATGACGTAAAAAAGTACCTATAACATCAACGTATATGTATATAGAGTTCAATTTATATGAACGTGTAATTTATATAAATTGAATTGGAGCGAAAATTCACTGCGTTTAAACGCACTACGCACACACTCAACATAGCCCCGCACTAGGGAAACCTTTGTCGCGGGCGCCATAGGCGACAACAAATTACACCCAAACTCTCGAGAGAAATAAATGTAGGCCATACAAATATTTCTCCCGGCCCGGGAATCAAACCTGGGACCTCTGCGTGGCAGTCCTGCAAGGTAACCGTTCTGCCACCGAGGCGGTCAAAAGTTGAAACTTGACAACCTAATTTTTTAATATTTACATACTGTATCAACCCATCCATGTCACACTTCACTTAGTGGTGATAGGCAATCTCACAAAACTCATAAAAAAATCTGAAATGTACATCATGTAACATCTATGTTAGGAAGAACGTATGTATATAGGTTATATTAAAATGATCATTCAATTAATATTTTTTTGTGAAATAATAATAGTATGTTTTTTTAAAACAATCAATAAAAATTTAAAATTTTTAGATTTCAGATTGGATTGATTACACGACATTTTTTTATAAAAATACCAGGCACACCACATGACGTCATACGTTGGTAAACAAAACGTATTCACCGGTCAGGACAGTAATCAATCAATACATAAATTCTAGCAAGTGGCAAATACACTTATCTATTATGATTACCTACCAATGACGTCACACGTTCTACGTGCAGTTGGCGCCCAAAACAATTTTTAGAAAAATATTTTCTTCTATGTGGATTTTTTTCATGGCCCAACTCTACATCCATCTAACAACACTGAACTCCCCCTTTCGTATTATAAAATGCTGTTTAATTTAAAAAATGATTTTTTTATCATTCCTAAATTGCAATTGAATGACTTTGCGAAAGTAGTTGTTAAATCCAAATCCAAATAGTGTCGATTTTACCTCAGCAACGCGGTAACACTGCGAATTCAATTACTGTGAGATCATTTGTTTGCTCTCCCGGTATTTAACAATTTATAACCAACTCCATTAACATTTAAATTAAATAATTATTTTTCCGGGTCTCGTACTACGCCAAAGTTAATTAATTATAAATTCAAAGCGTTTAAAAGTTTTAGAGAGAAAAAATCCGTGTACTTATTTGTTACTTTTCTTTATATAATATCAAATGACGGGACGAACAAGTCGTGCGCCTGATGATGCGCTGTACTTCCCTGGACGAAATCTTTCACAAGGAGCTCTACAGCTACAACAATTATTTATAATTAATAAATAATGTCAAAGAATATTCGTTACTCTTTAAATAGTTGCGAATAATTTACACGTAGGTAAAACATTAATTACTTTCACTAACCTGTTCATTACTGATGATCAATTTCACCAGTCACTTAGGTACACGATTTCGTCGTTGACATAACATTTTTTATCGCTTTAGAAAGGGATTATATGCGGCACTTCGAAATACAACATACACTTTCAAATTACACTAAAACTCTTTGAACAGTATAAAAAAATATCATTGCTGGGCTTGGGGACTTCACAGGTTTTCCAAGGGTTGTGAACCTTCTTCGACGTGCAAGTTTCATGACATGTATTCTTTCGCGGTTAGCGAGAGATGTCGCTACTAAAGATACTCAAATGTCATGCCACTACGAATCCCTATTCGAACCGGTTTTCTATTCATTTATTTTTGTTTACAGTCAAAAACGCAGAGGTGCTAGGATCCCATTTAAGGCGGCTGGCACGCGAGGCGGAAACGCGGCTGCACGAGGTAGCTGGCTGCTTGCCAGACAGAAACTGCAGGGAGGATGTTTGTACTAGGTATGATAAAAATTTTAACTTCAGCCTTACATAACTGACTGACACTGGAAGTATTTTCAGGACAATCATGAAAATAAAATTTTGACACTGTTAAATCATTTTACGTAAAAATTGTCACCACAACATAATGTAAATTAAATATGCGACATTCTTTTATGATATAAAACAACAGTCTATAATAGAGTAACAATTATTATATAAGAGGTATTTAATAATTAAATACCTCTTGCAACTTCATTCTATTTACTATCATTGTCCTAATAGGTCCTTAAAACTCATATCGTTCCTCTAGATCTGAACTAGTGGGATCCTCTGATCCCTATGATGGGCTTCCATACACATCCCTACACCCCTTCCTCTGCCACCTTTTCATGCCCCCTTATGCCTTTAGCACTTATGGGCTGGTTTCATTCTAAATCTATTTAGCTTCATCATGCTCTATCTCCAGGCCGTCTAGATAACAAATATCGTATCTAAGTTAGTAAAACTTACCAACTGTAGTGCCGACTAACCAATGCACTCCCAGCAGACTCTTGATATGTCACCTTCAGAAGTTATGACGCATGAACTGCCGGGGTGATTCCTCTCTTTTGGTATCATAATAGACTGAATTTGTTAATGCTGATATGCAAAACTAATACTAAACCGCGATTTAATTCGCGACAAAAGTGTTTCAACCAAATTTTTCATATTTTAATACTAAAATTAGGTCATCAGCAAGCGGACAAGCAGGGACGACAGGGTGCGCTGGCGGAGCAGGTTCGGAGAAAGACAAACAAACTCAACATTGGGAGAGGAGAGTGCGGACGCTGAAGTAAGAAATATTCGTCGTTATTTTAACTCTCAAGGTCATAACTCAAAAAACTGTGCAGTGATAATGCCACTTAAACAACATACAAAATGAGGCTATATTTATATTTTAAAGACAAACTTTTTTGAGCAAATAAATCTTCAAATGTTTAATCGCTGGTCTTAGAAATATTCTAAAAGCCAGGAACATTTAAAAATAAATTGAATTTTTTGTTAATTTTTATGTGGCTTACTATGCTATAAATTATAGGATGATTATAATCCTTAATAATTGAGTACGAAGACTTTTCATTATATTAAAAATAGGTTCAGTCAAAATATGTTACGTGTGGTATTTACAATGTGTCACAAGAGCGGTAAATAGGCAATTATGAACAGAGGGACAAATTCATAGCTTTAATGGCCCGAACATTAGTGATTGCTGTTTCGTCCGTGTGGCATACAATGTTTTTCACTTTTTTCATAACACGGGGGCAATTAAAAAAGAAAATAATTTTTCGCTTTGACTTTACGTATCAATAAAACAAAAATCTTTTAAATTATGTGTGCCATGGTATCTATGAGTGTGCTTTATAATAATTATAAACTGAATCAAATTAATTTAAAAAAAATAAAATCAAGAAGTCCAGGGATTTGGAGTCAGAGTTTGCCCGGGCAGTCAAAAAAATCATTACCTCCCTAGGGTCGGCTGATACAAATACCGCCTAATTTAGCTGCAAGTTATATTTCTGCAAGCACGCATAATGAAACATATCTTTTTAGAGGAAACTCATGCCCCATAACTCTTTCTTATGTCATATCACGTTCCTCTTCCAGACGTCTAGTCCTTGGCTATCAGCAAGTACGTGTGCCGACGGCACCACCAGCTCCTGAGCTCGAAGTATGCGGCGCTCACGCCGTCACTGTTAAGCTCAAGGATTCTAAAGTCACAATGCCGCAGACTCCACCTATTGTTACTAAGTACAAAGGTATTCATGATCTGCATTTACTAGGACGTCACATGTTTTCTATAGATACATCTACACAGTTATTTACTCGCACTGGAAAAGTTATTTTAGTAATAAAAACAGCATATTTTTCAAAGGGTCTTTCTTATAAATAAAGAAAACAATTTTCCATTATTATTATTGATACAAAACCAAACACAGAGAAAAATTCCTTCGGTTTGACTGGAACGGTGATGCAACTGAGTTACAGATAGTGGCGGATTTGCAGTCTTGGCCGCCCTAGGCCCCAGGCCATGTAGTCAGTACGAGCCGCCCGTTTCTTAGCACTCATCATATACTGGTAGACGACATAATGAATTTCACTGTCACTCTGTCTATTGGTGGAAACCGCATGAAAATCCGTTCACTAGTTTTTGGCGATCAGACAGACAGACAGACTTATGTAGTGATTATATATTACGCTATAGATATGTAACATATGTAACATCTTTATTTTATACACAAAATGTTCGAAAGTGATTTGAGTAATTTTCAGGTGAGTACATAAAGTACTCAATTTTGGTGACAATTTCTTTTTATTTAAATATTTATAGAATATCATCATGAAGTATTATTTAATATTCGAGTGTGGTAACCTGAAATATTCTTTAATATTTCACGATGATATATTCGAGTAATTAAATAATAAAAATTGTCATCAAAATTTAGTACAAAAGCCCCTAAAATCAGGCCGCCCTAGGCCCTGGCCTACTGGGCCTTAGGGCAAACCCACCAATAACTACAGACTGAGTCAGTTGGTTAAGAGCGGTGACCCCGGCATGGCAACAGACTAATTCCAGTCCAGTGAAATCGAACGAATTTTAAATAACAATATAAGTTTAGTATTTTCACAAAAAATATAAGAATATCATGATAGTCAGACATCGTGATATTCAGTAAATAATATTGCAATTTTCCATTACTTCAGTCGATTTTGAAATTATCGAACATAAACAAAAACCAACAAACTAACACAATAGGAAATGAAACTATTTTTCCGGATTTAAATCGCGTATATTTGTTTTTTCAAACAAACCGACGTTTCGGGCCCTTTACAGGTCCCATGGT